ACCAGGTAGTAAGGAGGACTCAAGCAGGGGTGCTCGGATCTCTCTGGGAAGAAGAAACAGAATAGAGTTCATGGGTGGACTAGGGGTGGCTGGGGATGGGACACGATGAATCAGGTTGTGGGGGAAATTGAGGAGGAGAGTTCCGAAAGAGATGACTGGAAAGGGGGACACTTGGGGGAGAGGTAGAAACCTAGTCCAAGGGAAACTCCCAGAAATCTACAAGGATGATCCCAGCTGAGACTCCTAGCAATAGGAGATATATAGCCTGAACTGGTCGTCTCCTGTGACAATGCAAGACTTCCAGTGGAGGGATAGGGACACCAACCCAGCCACATAACCTTTGACCTATATTCTGTCCTGCTTATGTACTGGGGTGAGGGTGGCACGGAGAATTGTGTGAGTGGCAAACCAATGGTTGGTCCAGCCTGAAACCCATGCCATGAGAGTGAGCCCACTCCTGACATTGCCGGAGTGCCAGGACCCAGAGGCTGGATGGCCCCGAGACCTAGAATAGAACCAAATACTACTGGCAGTATATATATGAAATGGTTGCTAATGATACTGTGCTATACTCATAGATGGGTGTCTAGCCCAATTGTCATCAGAGGGGCTTCATTCCCACAGCCAAACATTAGGTGAAGCTCACAGAATCCTGCAGAAGAAGGAGAGAAAAGATTGTGGGAACCAGCGGGTCAAGGACACAACAAGAAAACTCACAGAGTCAACCAGCCTGGCCTCACAGGGGCTCACGGAGACGGAACTGACAAGCAAGCCTGCATGGGACTGACCTAGGCACTCTGCATATCTGCTACAGTTGTTTGTGTAGCTTGGTGATCTTGTGGGACTCCTGGCAGTGGGAACAGGGGCTGTCTCCGACTCTTTTACTGGGACTCTACTCCTCATCCTGGGTCATCTTTCTCAGCCTTAATATGTGGGGAGGTGCTTAGTCTTACTTCAACTCGATACGCCATGTTTTGTTTATACTCATGGGAGAGCTGCCCTTTCCTGAACAGAAACGGAGGGGGGGTGGATTGGAGATGGAACAGAGGGGGCCTGGGGAGGGGGGACGGGGAGGAGAGGAGGGAGAAACTGCTGCCAAGATGTAAAATAAATAAATAAATAGGAAGTTTGAATTTAATTTTTCTGTTAACTGTAAATCTTACATTTGTGTTTATGAATTTTTTATTTAATCAAGTTTAATGTTATTTAAAAAAAAACAAAAACTAAGTTCCTGTAGCCATTCCTATTTATTCAACGACAATTCAAATTTCCCACTTTTCCCAAGAAAAAATATCTTAAAGTCATCCTTTAACTTCACAACCACATGCAACCCATTAGTAAATCCATTGTGGCTTTACCTCTTTGGGACACTGGTCCAACCCATCATGATTCTCACCTCATTGCTGGAAAAATCTTGTTTTCTTCTCACTTTGACCCTGGTATTTTAGCTTATATTAATACACAACTCAGATCATGTCGTTCCTTAGATCAAAATATCCCAATGCCTTCTCAACCCAGAGCAAAAATTCAAGCCCTCCCGTTGATCTCCCAAGTCCCACATGATTTAGCCTAGGCATTAACTTCTCTGGTGGATCAGCTTCCTGTTTCCTAAGTTTCTTCATACCTCCTATTCATCAAAGTGTTCCCGCCTCAGGGCCTTTGTTCTTGCAGTCCTGTCCAAGGTGGTTTTCCTCTGTGCGTTAAAATATCTCACTTTTTATTTAAGACAGTTGCTTATGTTCCCCTCTTGTGAGAGACCCTTCCTGATGCCCCCCCTCCCGCCCCCTCAAGCCTACAGTGGTGTCTTATTCTGACATCATCCTTCCCTCCCATTCCTCTCGATACTCTCCCCCCTCTTCCTGTTGTGTGTTCCCCTAAAGTACTCATTACCTGGTAACACAGTACAAACTTTAGTGCTGTTCCTCGGTTATGTTTTCTTGCACTAGAGTGTACACCCCACAAGTGTGGATTACTTAATATTAGAGGACGAGCATTGTAAAGGAAGGAAATGAGAGAAAACTGGAAACCCAAAGAATGATGAAAACTGGTTTGGAGGAGCTGATGAGGAAAACTACTGTGTGTGGGAAATGTTAGGATCAAGTGTCTTGGCTACGAGCTGTCTGCTGCTGGTGAGTGAGGCGGAAGTTCTGAGAAGAAGCAGTGTGAGAAGGTGCCTGACTTAAAAAGGTATTGTCGCCAGGCGGCGGCGG